AAATAAAGTAAACAGGCTTGAAGACTATTATAATAGTTTATATGAAGGTTATCATAGGTATACATTGAATTAAAGCCCAATGTCTTTGTATTTCATTTCCTTCTTTCAGATTCATATTTTAGTAAAAGGTATTATCACTATGAAATTTCTTCATTATCTAATCCTTCGTTTCTTCAATTTTTCAGTTTATTTTTCTTTTAAAATCTATTAAAAGTAAATCACTAATTTTTAATTAAAAGCTAAACAGAATAAAATCGTCTCATGATTTCTGGCAAAACAATATTACAAAGGTTTAAAAATTTCCTAAAAGAATAATAAAATAACATTAATATTAGCTACAACTTACTGAATACTATAGTTAAATACTCCAAACAAACAAACAAACAAATGCTCTGCCATTGAGTTGAATCCGACTCATAGCGACCCCTCCTTGGGTTTCCAAGGCAGCATCTCTATGGAAGTAGACTGCTCTGTCTTCCTTCTGAGGAGTGGCTGGTGGGTTTGAACCACCTGCGCTCTGGTTAGCAGTCAAATGTCTTAGGCACTACACCACCAGAGCTCCTAGATAACTTACTATCTCTCATCCTTAAAATAATTTTATAAATTACTAAACATTATTTACATTTTACATGGGAGAAAATAAGTTTGGAGATCCTAACTTGCCCAAATGCACACAGTCAATGCTAATGTCAAAATTGTGATATGAATTTGGGTCAATCAGACTCCAAGGCTTTTGGTCTTTCCATTGCTTTAGACTGCCTCTCAGAGAATAGGTACCTTTTGTTTTATGTTCTGATTATACCAGGTTATTAGTCCTGTAAATTAGACAACCAGGTAGGAAGACAAGATGGACTAGGATATACCTAATACAAGTTATATAATACACAGAAAGATAAAAATAAGTAAGAAGGACATTCGAAAGGCAAGAAAAATGGCATGAGTAAAATGGCAAGATTTGATCACAGCCATCTTACAGATTTCATAAACTTTGGTTTATATGGTTCTTGTACTTCAAATTCATCACAGGAATTATTTTCAGATTAAAACCAGTAGCTGTCAAGTAGATTCTGATTTATGCTGATTCATGTGTGGCACAGCAGAACAAGACTCCACAGGATTTTCAACAGCTGTGATCTTTTGGAAGTAGAATGCCAGGCCTTTTTTCTGAGGCTCCCCTAGGCGGATTAGAACTGCCAATGTTTAGGTTAATAGCTGAGTGCTTAATCACTTGCACTACCCAAAGACTTCTACATTGTTGTTTTGTTGTTGGGTGCCATAGTGTCGATTCCAACTCACAGTGATTTCATGTGACAGAGTAGAACTGTCCCATAGGATTTTCTCAGCTGCAATCTCAATGGAAGCAGACTGCCAGTTCTTTCTGTTGCAGAGCTGCTGAGGGAGTTCCAACAGCCAATCTTTTGGTTCACGGCAAGTGCTTAACCTCTGGGCCACCAGGGTTCATTGTACTAAGATTAGAAAACAAATAAGTATAATAAAAACAGTATCGTACCTTTAAAAGTAGTTTACTTTTCCTACCTCTAAATCTAATGCACGCTCATTATAGAAAACCTTTCTGAAAAGGTTAAAAAACCTCAGTAACATTCACAAAACCAAAAAAACAAACTAGTTGCTTTGAGTTGATTTCAACTCACGGTAAACCCATGTGTGCAGAACTGCACTCCACAGCATCGAAGGCTGTGATCTTTTGAAAGCTGATAACCAGGGCTTTCTTTCACAGCATCACTAGTTTAGCTCAAACTGCCAGTCTTTGAGTTATTCAAGTGCTTAACTGTTTGTACCACCCAGGGACTCATAAGACATTAAAACCTCTACTTAAAGACCACCAAAATTTGCTTCTTATTTTATATATGTACATACATGCTTTTTAAAACTAAGATCATAAATATAAGTTTATTTTCTGCTTCTTTCACTTAATACTGAGTCATGAAGATTTTCTCAGAAATGCTTTTTTAATTACTACACGATGTCTCATAGCCTAAATGTACTAATTTACTTAAGCATGGTGGCACAGTGTTAAGCATCTGGCTGCTAATAGAAAGGTCACAGTTCCATTCACCAGCCACTCTGTGGGACAAAGATGTGGCAGTCTGCTTCCATAAAGATTTACAGTCTTAGAAACCCTATGGGGCAGTTCTGCTCTGTCCTACAGGGTCACTAAGTTGGAACTGACTTGATTGCAATAGGTGGGTATATGTTAGATTACTTTTAGTGCTCTTGCTATCATAACTAATACTGAGATAAATATCCTTTTATATAAATCTTTGGTTCTGCCTTTTGCATATACAGTACTGAGTTGTCAGTGAAGGCAAACATGGGTATATGGACGGATAGATATGTGGACAGGCTAAACAATTAGGTATGTCTAAATGGTGGGGAGTGTATCCAAGATCAAATATAAGGTTGGCAGACAATGGTCATATAAGTTTATGTGAATGATCAAAATTCCCAGGTGTATAGTAGAGCTGACAAGGGGCAAGGTTGTGGTCACTGCTTGGTCACAGCCAGCTACCCAGAGCGACCGAGTAGCTGAACCTGCGGGCTTGGGACCATAGTCGCAGGGGACATCAAGCTCAACTGGCATAACATACTATACAAAACATTGTTCCACCTCCTACTTTGGTGAGTAGCGACTGGGACCTTAAAAGCTAGGAAGCTGCCATCTAGATGCAACGATGGGTCTCTCCTCGTCAAGAAGAAAGAAGAAAACCAAAATTAATGGAAACAATCAGTCCTAGCGACTGGTACATCATCCAATCTGCAACCTATACAACTATGAGACCAGAAGAACTAGATGGTAACCAGCTACCACTATCATCCACTTGGAAGGGATGTAGGAGATCCTGCATAGAGAGGAAGAACAATGTGGAACAAAACTCAAAATAATTTGGAGGCAAAAAAAAAAGGTGGGGACCAGGTTTGCTGGTCCAATAGAGCCTGGTGTAACCACTGAGACTATGGCCCTGAGCTGCCCTTCAGGTCTGGAATTGAACCCACACCTGTGGTTTCCAGCCAAACAAAGTACAGGCTTGTGAGTTAAACATTTACCTCAAGTAGACACACGCCCTGGAGAGAACAATCATGGGAGAAGGAAGGGCTGCTTATGCACAGGGAGACAGCTCAGGGCGCAGAAGAGTATGGAGCGATGGACACTGGGAAGAGGTAACTATGGGGAGGAAGTGGGAGGGAAGCTGTTGCATTGTGGTAAATTTTGGTCAATGACATGAGATGAAGTATATGTGAACTACTGTTTGAAAAGTGAATTTACTCTGTAAATCTTCACCCAAATCAAAAAAAAAACTTTGGTTCTGATTTCCTTATAATATCTCATATTCAGTTAATATTTTACTTTAAAAATTATAGATATATGTTTAGGAAACTATAAAAACAAATTAAACATCTTTCAAAGATTTAGCATTTACTAAAACAATATTTTATCATTAATGAGAAATATTTTAATAAGAGTCATAAAAGAGTTATATGATCATACTTTCTCTTTTATGTATGCATGTGTCAAATTTAATGAAAGGGAACCCTTAAATATATGTCAGTCAATAAATATTTGAAGAATAGCTATATTATAGAAAAGTTTAAGAAAAAGAGTGATATTACCACTTCATGAGTTTACTCCTCCAAAAGATAAGGGAACTGTGCAAACATATTAATTTATGTTTCTCAGTAAATCATGAGGGACTAAATTTTATTAAATTACTTCCGTAAAACATTTTCAAAGTTAAATTAACATGCAAACACCTCAAACCAAATGAACTTCCTGTGATACCATCTTCGCAATTAGTCTACCTCTACATACATATGCTGTAAAAATTGTTCTAAACTTACATCTGAGTTATTAATCTTTAACATACTGTTAGTTTTCCTTAAAATACGATTCTCTTATTTCTCCCCTAAAAAGAAAAAAATCATAGTAGTTTAACATTAACAGGAAAGTAAACATCTGGTATTTAGCTGGAGTATTTATTTATGACTATCTTATTTATATTTTCATAATGATATTTAGTTCTATTTTTCATAGTACTATTTTGAAGGTAGACTATACCTATTAATGATATCACTTACATGATAATTCTTTCATATATGCAACCAGGTTAAGTGGCTTATAAAGCGCAATTATAATCTCAGACAAATCACAAAATAATTTTTTCTTAAAATCATTTCAATTGACATAATTAAAATGAGTACTCTCTAAAATGTCTCTGAATCCTAATATCTTATTCTTTGAAATTTCTATTTCCTTAACATACTGAAACAGCGTGTGGAATAAAGTCAAAGTTACATATATAGTGAGATCATAGACTACTGAGAATCATCTGATCATATCTGCAACATATCTCAGAAAGAATAAAAATAATTTCTCCTTGAAAAGACATGTGAGTAAAGATAGACTCCAAGAGATATTTAAGGCAGTCATTTATAATCTTAAACTTTGGTAACCTTTCAATGTAAGCTTCTCAGGGAAAATATGATTTCTATCATCATCCACATCACCACATGAAAATTTATTATTAATTACAGATTTTTGAATCAAACATAGGTTTTCATTGGCAAAGAATATATGACAATCTTCATACAAAGGAGAAGTATTTCCTCTCAATGAGCTAAAACAATAAGTGGTATTTGAACTGCTGGTTGAAAGGTAGAGGCACTGGTAATCATTATTTCCCCTTGTTTGTTCAGGCCCTTCCAACAAAACAAACAACCTTTTTGTGATTGGATTGACATGGTGTTAACAATGCGTTTAATGCCCAAATCAGTATGAATACAGGTAAAGCTCTCACTAATACCAGTACCAGGATGTTAAAGCCACCTATTTTCTAAGCAGCCAAAAAAAAAAAAAAAGAGAGAGAGAGAGAGAGATCATCCCTTGTCCCCTCCTTAGGCAAATAAGCTAATACTCACAAAGCCACATCACATAACAACCTTGTGTATGATTTTTAAGGCCATAAGTTAATACTCATCTATACCTGCAGTCTTTTCAGCAATTTTAGCTTCTGTTGCTTTCTCTTGGAGTTGCAGCTTAAGCTTTAGTTTTCTCTGTTCCTTATCTTCTTTAGTCAGTTTTTCTTGAAGCTGAAACACATTGAATAAAATAGATTTTTATCTGGCAAATATCCTGCACAAATATAATGTATTTCAAAGGAAAACTCTCTTTCCTAAACTGTTATATTTTACAACCTAAATGTATATCTCCCCTTCAAAAAACTATTTTAAGTTTCTAAATAATTTATAAAGTAAAAATTATCCAGATTGATAAAGAAGTTGCAAAAACATTTTAATATGCATTTAATTTATGTGTGTGTCCGTGTGTGTGTAGGCAAGTGAAATTAAGAGGAACACCATTATTATTAAAAATAACTATAACAAAACAATATCCCATCCATCCTTTGTCTTCAAGCAACACTTGGAAGGGACTATACTAATAAAACAATGGACAGCATAGCTTTACATCTTCACTTAGCAATTCCAACATTTTGAAACAAAGTTAATTAAAATAATAATCTTAATATCTGATACCAATCTTCCTTTGAGAATGCTATTCCATCATATCCCATTTTAATTGGCACTGGCATCTGACTCATAATCTACTTGTAACAAACAACTGCTAACTGAAAGAATAGAAAATATCTCATGTTCTTACACTGAATCTCTCCAACTCTTTTTTTCCAATTCCTCTAGAGACTTTTGTCATTTGTGTTGTTTTCCATGAGGACAAATTCCTAACATTATGCTTCAGTTTAATTTAGTAAAATAACTAGAATATTAAAATTTTAAAAATCAGAAAATTAAGTAGATGTATAAAAACAATATAGTAAATGAACATGAAAGGTAGTTATGCTCAAAGGAATGCATATAGAAAAAGAACCAGAAAAGAAGATAAAATATGGTATCATAAAAACTGATTTAGATTAGTCAAAACGAAACAAAATAAAATAACATAAGGTAAAGGACTATATTGCCACATTTTGCTACTTTAAAGTTTATGTGCATATACTATTGAGGTCTAATACAAAGCACATATACTAATAAAAAAAGAAAAAAGAAAGGTAATTTTAAACCAATACATTGTATTTTTCATACTACATAAGGCTGAAGGAACTACATACAGTAATTTGTTATTTATTCATTTATATTAGGTACCTACCCAACGTGCCATAGATTTATGGAAAAGGAAGTGGTATCACAGGCCAGCAAAGCAGGGAAACAGACATGGCCAATCCTTCAACTGAGAAATACCCTGATAGACCATTTGGAAGGGACATAAATTTACTATTAAAAGTCTTAAAATATATAATAAAACTGAATCATGATGTATAACAAAACAAATAGAGTAGGTCAATAGATAAAAGCATACTGCACAATTATCAGACTTTCTATATGGTACCTTTTCATTGCTTGCTCTAAGAATGTCCAATTCTTTTAGAAGAGATGCTACCGTGCTCTCTTTACTTAAGTCTGAAGTAACTTGATAAGGATTCATAAGTTCACAATGCAAATCATTGTTTCCATGTTCTACAATGCTGCAATAGATAAAACTATTAAATAACATATACATATGATTTCTACCTAGGATCTATAAATTTTTTACTTCAAATGGGCAAGACAAATTTAATTTTCACAGTAAATATATGTTACCTAATTCTAAATTTCTCATTATATACTGTTAAGAAAATAAACTGGATGAAAAGAATAAACAAATTAATTTCACAAAGAGATACTAATCTATGAACTGAGAAAGCAAAATTTATGGAAACCTTTTAGTAATGTCACAAACCAAAAAAACCCAAATTCACTGATATCGAGTCTGTTCTGACTTATAGCAACCTCTCTTTGGGTTTCCGAGGCAGTATCACTATGGAAGTAGATTGCTCAGTCTTTCTTCCAAGGAGAAGCTATTAGGTTTGAACTGCTAGCCTTCTGGTTAGCAGTCAAATATCTTACACACTCTGCCATCAGAGCTCCTAGGATGTTATAGAGTGGCTCATATAGTTCAGTATACCAAACAAACAATTCAGGTTTCAGGGGCTGTGAATATTAATTCAGTTTCTACTTATAGTCAGGGCTCTATATTTTATTTTTTCCTGAAAATAAGACCAATAATGAGTTTCTTTTTCAATTTAGTTGACAGATTATCATATTTTCATTATTAAATTCAAATACTAAAAATAAAAACTTATTCCTGTAACACTTAAGGGTAAATAAAAAAAAAAAAAATTTTTTTTGACATTTTGTATGCTGAGACCACTGTCAGCTTGTTAGCAGATAGTATAAGGGAAGGGAAGGAAAAGAGATAGGTTGGTTTTTTTTGAAAGGATTATATTAAATTTGTAGGCACAGGTTAATCTCAAAGTTACTAAGAATAAATAAAGCAGTGAAGCTTGGGAGAGTCAGTGCAGCTCTGACTGATTATGCTAGATATCACATACCCTGGCATTAGCCTAAAGTGTATTATTTATTTTTCCAATCTGCTTATAAAATGTTTATGGCCTCTTCATTCATCTCTGCTTCTACCCTACAAAATGATTCCAATCTGCAGCTCAGTAAAGCAATGCTACCGAATCTAATCTAATTGCTAAGAGGTGGGAACATAGTAGCATATATACTTTAGTGTTTTTATATTAATTACAAGCAGATGCAGAACAAACTGAATAATTTGTAAGTAAATAAAAACAGTTGTTGCTATGCAAACTGTTAAAATAATATTCTATAAAATATGATTATATCTGGACTGAAAATATAATTACATTAATTAGTCACTGAATTTTTTTAAATCTGGTATTTTCAAAGCCTGTGACTAATTACTAAAGTACTTTAATTACATAGGTAAAAGTCCCAAGAATCACAAAATCAGATACCTCCATGGGATAGGTAGGTAGGTAAGGTGAATAGGTAAAGGCTACAAAATGTAAAATAACATGGAAAGGAAAAGAGGAGAGGACCAGGTTCTTCTTAAAGCATTCAAATTAATTTAAAAGAGAAACTGTGTTAATCAAAATCAAAATATATCTTTGGCTTAATTTGTCCTGTGGCTACCAATTTTTAATCTCTGATGAATAGCATCATATTTATATCAATGTAGAAGGAATCTGCACATCTATAATGAAAAGTCACAGAAAATAATATTCAACAAGAAATGAATAAAACTTCATGGCCTTCATTCAAACTTACCATGTGCTTTCTCAATCACCTACCTAAACTCATTATAGCAATGTAATGGAAACAGTAGAAAACTCTGACAGGTTCCCCCAAATTCTAATAAATTAATGATAAATCAAAATTAGCCCACACCAAAAGAAGCAAATTAAAAGCAAAGAAAGATAATGTTCTCCCAGTTCTCATTTTCTAAATATAAGGCCGCTAGCACTCACTTGGATTTCTCAGTAGTACAATAAGCTGTCTCATCATCTGGATAAGGAGTGATGACTTGAAAATTCCTTGATCTCTGCCCTGGTAGCTCTGTGTCCTCATATGTGGCTTCATTAATTAATTCGCTGGATTTTTGATGCATGCTTTCCACAGAACTCATGGTCAGTTGTTCATCTGGCTGTGAATTTTTATTTTTCCCTTTAGTTTCTTCTTCAAGATAACTATGAGGTATATCTGTATTTAAAAAAATATATGTGGTACCATAGCTACATATTAAATCATTCAATCAAATGAATATTTTGTGAAAATAAATGCTCTCACAGCTTTAAACATATACTGATTAGTCTTGCTTCTACTGCAATCAGATAGGCATGTGCAGTTGTGGATTTTGCCACTGACAGTACCAATTCCATAGTCAACAGACATTTAAGACAGTGGCTCAAAACCTGGGCTATACATTAGATAAATTAAAAAAAAAAAAAAAATTCTAATGTCCAGACCGCACCTATACTAATTAAATAAAAATCACTGAGAGTGAGATCCAGTCGATATTTTTGAAGTTCTCCAGATGACTCCAGTATACAAACAAGGTTGGGAACCATTAATTTAGAGCCCCTCTCCACACACACACACACACCCAATTGCTTCTCTTTTGTAGATTGCTTAGAATACAATGTAATAAGTTAATGATTATGAGAGTGATAAAACGATAAAGGGGACTGTTGGGGTTAGAATTCTAGCACTGACAAGCTGAGTTACCTTAGGCAAGTTACTTAACTTATTCAGGCCTCAATTTCTTATTTGTAAAATGGGAATATAATAGCACTTACTTCACTGAATTGTTGCAAGTGTTAATGCATGCAAAATACTTGCCTAGTGCATGGCACATCAACAAATGTTGCCTATTATTTCTGTGATCAACATCATATTATAACGGTACAATATAAGGAGAATTATTTCTAACCTTCTTTTATCAGATATGTATTATATACATCAATGACAATTTCAATAATGCATGATTATCTCATAAAAATTATTTTAAGCCGGCAGTAGAAATTTCAAAGGAATAGTAGCTATTTCAAAGGAACAATACATAATTAATGTTATAGTAAAGTTTTTGGGAGAAAATCACAATCAATCATTCACAAAAACTGATCTCAACTAGTACTTTATTATTGTCAGCAGGAATAATTCTTAAACTTTAAAGAGTAGATGGACCTCATTTGGTTGTTGGGGATGGCTTCTCCAATCTGCCAATCTTGCAATACTTTTCTGGCAGAAAGTAGTTTTAGAATAAAAGAAAATGAAAGGGTACTTCTAAATAAGGCACTTCTTACAAAGTACACGTTCTTTAAGAAGAAATTCTTTGGTTGAATATAAACTGAAATTAGGTAGTCAGGGTTAAGCTCCAAGTCCTGGCCATTATTCTTTTTGGTGGTGAAGCTAGATTAGAAATCACTGGTTTTTAGCATATAGTTCTTGATTTCACTTTAAGGGAAAGGGAGATATATAAGAACTTTGAACATTACACTGTTTTTGACTTAATCTTTAACAATTTTATAGGTACAGGAATCTTACTTTTTGGTTCTTGACATTTCAACACTCCTACTTGTTTGTTTTAGATGATCACTATACTATTTTTCTAGAAGAGAGTGGTATTACTAAATAAAACCCAAAATACCAAATCCATTGCTTTCCAGTCAATTCCAACTTTTAGTGGCCCTATAGGATAGAGGAGAATTGCCCTATAAAGTTTTCAGGCTATAAATCTTTTTAGAAGCAGATTAGCACATCTTTCTCCCATGGAATAGAGGGTTGGTTCAAACTGCCAACCTTTGGATTTGCAGCCAAACACTTAACCACTATGCCACCAAAACATCTTTTTATTAGTAAATTAAAAGAAACCCCTTTGCCATCGAGCTGATGCTGACTCATAATGACCCTGTAGGGTACAGCAGAACAGCCTCACAGGGTTCCCAATGTATAAACCTTAGTAGAAACAGATGGGCATGTCTTTGTCCCACAGAGCTGATGGTGGATTCAAACCACCAACCTTAAGGTTAGCAACCAAACGCTTAACCACTGTGCCACCAGGGCTCCTGTACTGGTAAATAGAACCTCTAAAACTCTGGTAGCATAGTGCCTAAGGCACTTGACTGCTAACCAGAAGGCTGGCGGTTCAAACCAACCAGCCACTCCTCGGAAGGAAGATTGGGCAACGTACTTCTGTAGTGATACCACCTCGGAAACCCAAGGATGGGTCACTATGAGTCAGGTCCGACTCGATGGCACATAAAAACAACAACAACAACAATCTGAATGAGGGAATTTTATGAGTGAACATAAAGGAATACCTGTTTATCATCAACAGACCATGCTTTTTAATACTCACAATAAAAACAATTCAAATGAAACAAAATCATGATCAAAATAACAAATTTTCTCCCAGGAACATAATGAAAAACCAGAAGATGTCTCACAAGGAAAGGATGAGCCATGGAGCACTATCAGCTGTAAAAGCCCCAAGCCTCCATTAACAGTATCACAGCAAGTGCTTCAAAGGCTTTAACCTGTTTCTGAGACTAAATTCAGCATTACTTATCATTTGTCCCTTGTTTTTACCTCTGTGTTTCTGAGTCAAGATCATCTTTTCCTTTCAGCTTTTTATTCCTAATTTCAATCCCAGATATCCACACTTCCTATCATATCCTATGATTAGTTTTACGGCTCTTTTTCTCATTTCAGTTTTTACCTAATGTCAAATTGTATGATGCCCTGACTTTCTGGTAAATCATGGCCATTCCACCTATGACTGCTATCTCCTCCACACTCTTAGAGTAGATGTGGGAGCTGTCTAATAAAAGGATGCTTTGCTAATCTCTCCAAGATTTTAGTAATTATAACATCAGGAAGTATTATTAAAATAAACCCTTCAAGTTCTCACATGCTTCTAAATTCATCATGTTTAATATTTTCAAAGATTCTGTACTCTGTGTAATTTGGCTTTGATGGTATCTGGATGTTTCTAATCTTGCTCTGTAGTAAAAGTTTCTAGATTCCTAATAAAGTGTTCACCAAACATTCGGAGCCTGTTCTGCAGACAGGACTATCCATATTCTTGTAATGAGAATTCAATTTTAATTTAGTGTAAACAAGGCTGAATCATAACATTTTGCTTCCTGCCTGTCTTTTTTTTTTTTTAAACCAATAAGGACATATGCTAATCTAACATTTTTTAAAAAATTAAACTATTTTGGCAAATACAATTTCAGCAATTTATTGCTTCAATCCTCTGAATGCTCTCAATGTTCTTCTACTCTGTCATACCGCATTATCCGGTATCAGAATCTATCATTTGTATAAAAAGTCTGATCCCACTAATTAACTTATTATCTTAACATTAATTTATGGAGAATCCACAGTCTGATATGCCCTATGAAAAGGCCTGGGAATACAAAGATAGGCCTCTTCTCCTCAAGGATTCTACAGTATAGTAAGGAAGGCAAACGCATCTAAAGATTTGACTACAACGTAATAAGGACTATCCTAGGGCTGTAAGGACCAAATACATAATATGTTTTGCTAATATGCTATGCATACTGATGCTCAACTAGAAGGGTAAGAAGATTTCTCAAAGACATTTTTCAAAAAAAGTGCAAGCAGGAGTATACAAAGCAATAAATCACCAAATAGTTTGAGTTGGGGAAGGAGCCCTGGTGGCACAGCAGTTAAGCACTTGGCTGCTAACTGAAAGGTTTGAACCTACCAGTTGCTCCGTGGCACAAAGATGTGACAGTATGCTTCTGTAAAGATTTGCAGCCTCAGATACCCTATGGGGTAGCTCTAACAGAGTTGCTGAGTCCGAATCAACCTGACAGCAGTGGGTTTTGGTTTTGATTGAGTTAGGTAAAGTAAAGAAAAAGTTGACCATAAGAAGAGAACAGGGAGGGTCAGAGAGGAGAAAGAACAGATTTAGGAAGAACCAAGAGACATTTCTTATACTGAGATAGCAAGATGTTATAGTTAAAAAAATGAAAACAACAACAACAAAACACCAAACTCACTGCCATCAAGTCAATTCTGACTCATAGCAACCCGCCAGGACTAAGGAGAACTGCCCCAAAGGGTTTACAAATCTTTATGGAAGCATACTGCCTCATCTTTCTCCCATAGAGTGGCTGGTGGGTTTGAATCACCAACCTTCTGGTTAGCAGCCAGATGCCTTAACCATTGTGACATCACAGCTCCAAAATGTCACGCTGTTGTTGTTATATGGCGTCAAGTCAGACCCGACTCATAGCAACCCCTCCTTGGGTTTCCGAGGCAGTATCACTAAGGAAGTAGATTGCCCCATCTTCCTTCCGAGGAGTGGCTGGTGGGTTTGAACCACCAGCCTTCTGGTTAGCAGTCAGGTGCCTTAGGCATTATGCTACCAGAGCTCCCTCAAAATGTCATAGTAAGTGCAATTTCTGAAATGCACAATATGTAAAGACAAAGTCCAAGATGTGCTCATCTGGGAATGGGTTGATGAAATAGATTGATAATGAAGTACTTGGAGCAGAGAAAATCAACTAATTTGGGTGCTGAAAGTTTTATACCTGAACAGACTGAAGTCTTGCAGAAAAATGGCAAGAAAGGGAGACAAGAAATAAAGCAAAATGCAAAAGACTTCATTGACTAAGTAAGATAGAAACAAAAATGAGGAAGATGTCAAGAAGTGATGGTAAGAAACAGAGTGATTTCTTTTAAAAATTTTTTATTTTGAAATAATTTGTTTGAAATTGCAAAAACAGTACAAAAAATCTTGTGTACCCTCCTCCAACCATATTCCCCAAATGTTGACCCACCAGCTGCTCTGCAGAAGAAAGAAGGTGCAATCTGCTTCTGTAAAATTTTACAGCCTTAGAAACTCAATAGGGGTTGCCATGAGTCAGAATCAACTCGAAGGCAGTGAATTTTTTTTCTTTTGATTTGATTTTATTTTCATTCTCTCCATATCTATGTATCTACCTATCTATCTACACACACACACACACATTTTTCTGAAACATGTGAGAGTGTGTTGCAGGCATAATGCACCTTTGACGGTTTAGTCAAATTTTAATATACTGCTCCATCATACTGCATTTTGCCAAATTTTCATTTTCTTTATTCAAAGTACCTCTTATATTCTCAATTTCTGAGTTAGTGCCTTCTCCAACCAAGTTTTCATTTATTTCCCCTAAACTCTCTAG